CAAGCGTTGCACCAGCTTTTCAGGTGGGCAGAAGTATGAATGTCGACTATGTAATGCGACTATGCTGACGAGAAACGAATATTCAAAACATCTTCAAGCACACGAGGAATATGTCATCATTTGTCCCAAATGTGGGAAGAAATTCTATTCCCAAGGGGGATTTCAACACCATAAAAATGTGCATCAGCCTAAATCTCAATGTGAAATTTGTAACAGTTCCTTTTCTTACAAGACTGGACTACGACAACACCAACAACAATTCCACAGAGGTAGCCGTTAGTTTCGCAAAGTTTATTTTTAGCAAAAGAAGTTTTCAACATGTTTGGTCACATAAAAGTGTGTTGCAAAACATTTAAGACAGTGAAATGGCAATTCAAAAATCAAAAGTGATAATTCGTATGCAGTATTTTTCTAACCTCAATAGGTAACTGCTTATCGTTTATCGCAATTAATGTTTGGCAGTTACTGATGCGATAATGAACAAAGTGACAGAGTTCAAGCAACTAGGGTCCTCACGGTCCGATGATTTTAAACGGTGTTGACAATGGTAACAATAACGTCATCACTGATGCATCAAAATACCGAAAAAGTGCTAAAAGAGGAACGAATATTCTACTGCACTAATAGCCTCAGATACGGGTATATGTAATAGTAGATGGAGAAATAGAAATACTGGTGGACAGTTACCGGAAAAAAGTAATAAAGAATTATATAATGACATATCATTTTAAACCATTGCAACAATCCATTGCAGCCAAAGTACGAATTGGAATAAAAAATATTGAAGCAAATATTATACCTGTTGTAGTTACAGTAGTCAACTATTTAACAAGTAAGCTAAGAGTAATGTTTATAAACCAAGGTGATGTGTCAGAAATTTCAACTCAATTCCTATTAAAAGAAGAAAATAGCAATTGGAAACAACCTGAGTTAGAGTCGACCACTTCTTCAAGTTTATCCCGTTAGATTCGTAAGGGCATACCTCTTTAGATTCGTAAGGGCATACCTCGGCAAAACATGAAACGATCACGATGTTCATCAAGTCATTAAGTCAATCAGGTCATTCGGGCAATGAGTGTTTTTCAGGAAACTTTAACATCCACGACAACTTGGATTTAACACTAATCGCCTCAGATGCAAGTATATATAACAGTTAATGGGGTTAAGTATATATAACAGTTAATAACAGTTCAAGTATATGTCAGTTAACTAATGGATAATTACCGGGAACGAGCAGAAAAGAATTATATAATGATATACCGCCTTAATCCCTTCTGTTTGTGCTTTTATTCAATTGGATGAAGTTGAAGATATAAGCTACAAAGAATCCCAAATCCGAATCTGATCTCGTTGCAGCGAAAAATTCAGAATTACCCCTCATCCTACATTCTTCCATTAATGGCAACATGAGAATGAGTCTTTTGTTTTAAAAATAGATATGGTAAAAAAGTGAACATCCGTAATTTAAGTTAGTTGAAAGGTGATTTGATAGGTTTAATAAATGATACTGATACAGTCATTTTTCAAATTATATTCATTAATTAGCACATAAAATATTTGCAAACACGAGCGTCATATCAGTTTTCCAGCTGGGCAGATGAGGATTAAATGTCGTTATTGTAATGTGACTGTGCAGACGAGGAAGGAATATTCAAAACATCTTGAAATGCACGAGAAATATAACTTCACTTGTCCCGAATGTGGCAAGACATTCTATTCCCTAAGGAGATTTCGAGAGCATAAAGAAGTGCATCAACCTAAACACCAATGTGCAATGTGTAATAGGTCCTTTTCTTACAAGACTGGACTACGACAACACCAACGACAATTTCACAGAGGTAGTCGTTAGTTTCGCAAAGTTTATCTTTAGCAAAAGAAGTTTTCAACATGTTTTGTCACATAAAAATGTGTTGCAAAACATTTAAGGCAGTGAAGTGGCAATTCAAAAATCAAAAGTGGTAATCCTTATGCAGTATTTTTCTAACCTCAATAGGTAACTGCTTGTCGTTTATCGCAATTAATGTTTGGCAGTTACTGATGCGATAATGAACAAAGTGACAGAGTTCAAGCAACTAGGGTCCTCACGGTCCGATGATTTTAAACGGTGTTGACAATGGTAACAATAACGTCATCACTGATGCATCAAAATACCGAAAAGTGCTAAAAGAGGAACGAATATTCTACTGCACTAATAGCCTCAGATACGGGTATATGTAATAGTAGATGGAGAAATAGAAATACTGGTGGACAGTTACCGGAAAAAAGTAATGAAGAATTATATAATGACATATCATTTTAATCCCTTCCAGTTTATTCTTTTCATTCAATTGCGTGAAGTGGAAAATAAAAGCAGCAATTTATCTAAAATCGAAGCTGTTCTTGCCCGTACTAAGAAATTCGCAACTACCATTACTACCGTTATACTAGTTCCATCAGATGTAATCATCCAT